TGTCATATGTACCAGGGGAAATATGACTCTAGATTTTAAAAATACTGTGTCTGGGTGCCTTAAAGGTTTTGACACTTTTGCTAACAACAACAAATACCCAACCGCAAATTGCAGAAATTTCTACCACTATTGGGGGTTTTATTTTTCGTTTGTTTGTTTTCTTTTTCTATTTTACTTTTTTTTCTTTTAACTTGTAAATACTAATTTGTATAAGCATTGAATTGATAATAATTATGGGCAAAATGCCAACAAGCAAATAATATCAGGTTTGTACACTGGCCAATGGCTTTCTAAAGATCATCTAAGACCATTGAAAAACCATAGTGAGTATGGTGCGGTATTATAACTTCATAAAGTACTTTGTTCTTTTTAAATACAAAATGAATTAAATTGATGAAATAAACATTTTAATGCTTAACATTATAGCTCAAACTAATACTCCGTATCATCTTAAAGGGAAAATGGTTATATTGTGGAAATGTTTCTTTGGCGATATCAGGCACATTTTGTAACAACTTTGACGTGAGTCTAAGCACTGACTGTGACAAACAATAATACATTTTCTGAGTAGATGCCGTAACGTCTGTAGATGAATCCAAGAACCACCTGTGTCGCTTTGTTGCACCAAACTTTTACTGACCCAAAACACCCCCCACCCTCACATTTTGACCCATGCCGTAAAGCACAGCTATATCCCTTAAAGCAGTGCTTCTCAATTATTTTCGGTTACGCCCTCCCAGGAAGAAGTAATCATTTTGCGCCCCACCCCCCCAACTCTCTGCCATGACTGTAAATAGTATAATTTGTCTAAAAAATGTTATAAATACAGCTCTGCATAACATTGTACCCTTATTAATATTAAAGAAAGAAAGAAATATAGATCAATTTACAACAAAGATTATTAACATTGTTTTATAGACTGTAACAGAAAAAAAATCAATTTGCCTGAAATTAAAAAATATATATATATCCTTATTTAAACTGTAAACATTTTTGACCATTTGATACTGAACAATCAAATTGAATACCATCAATAAATAATAATAAATTCAAATTAATCAGCAACATTTTAAGATAGGAGTGTTATACACAACACTTTGACCTACAAAACAATAATGACTAAAACAATTTATGCTGTTTTTTGGGGGGGATGTGATCTGTTGTTTGATGATCTGCACAGTATCATGGCATCCTGGTGTCCAGTCCCACGTGACGTCCTTCCTGAGCAACCGGCGCAGAGGGGCCGTCAAGTCTGAGTAGTGTGGCATGAATCTGAGGTAGTAGGCGGCCATTCCCCAGAAAGAAGACAGCTGGGATGGTGACTGCGGGTCCGACAGGGACAGAATGGTCTCAGTGTGGGACAGAATCAGGGTGATGCCCTCTTTCAAGAGCCTGAAACCCAGAAACTCAACCTCCTCAGCCCCAAATATGCACTTCTGAGAGTTCAGTGTGACCCTATGCTGACTGAAACGCTGAAAGACCTGCTCCAGGTGAGCATCATGCAGTGTGGTAGAAGGTGCATGCACCACCACATCATCTAGGTAGATGGAGACACCTTGGATACCAGCCAGTACCAGTGACATTATCTTCTGAAAACAACTCGGGGCTGATGAAAGACCAAACGTCATGCATTTAAATCTGAAAACCCCCACATGTGTGACAAACGCTGTAAGGTCCATACTGGCTGATGCTAGAGGAACCTGCAGGTAGCCATTCCGTAGGTCCATCTTACTGAAGACAGTAGAGCCATGGAAATGGCTGGTGAGTTCCTCAGCTGTGGTTAGTGGAGCCACAGTTACCACAGCTCTTGGCCCCACTCCTACTGGGCCCCCTGTCCACTCTCTGTACATCCAAATTGCCACTTGGCCCGTCAGCCTCCTCAACAGCCTCTGTGTGATGGACAGACAGTGGTGATGACGTCACCGGCTTGTGCACAGCGCGGCTGAATTTTCGCTTCGTTGCACCAAAATTTTACTGACCCAAAACTCCCCCCACCCTCACATTTTGACCCATGCCATAAAGCACAGCTATATCCCTTAAAGGCACAGTAACAAATCACTCACAGTGCATAACATGTAGGGCTAGGTACCTTTCTAAAAAAAATGGTATCGGTACCAATTTTGTAATTACTATTAATTCTAACAAGAATAAAATTACGTTACACATTACAGTACATATTGTGAATTTTAATTTTTAACTTTGGCATTTCTATTCCAAGTAGTTTTCTTACATAAAAAATTAACAAATAATTTCCAGTTCAAATGACCAATTTCAAGCCAGAGACACGTCAGTGTCTAATGCTCACTGCTACACACTTGAGGACCTTTTCATTGAACAGTTTTTCTTCAGAAACATCAACATGTCTGCTTTCTCTGGACACAAACAAGTCCGCTCCTGGCTGATGGTGTCTCCAGCAGTAGAAAATGTCCACTCTGAGGGTGTGGATGATGCTTGTTGCACACACAGATACTTGGTTGCCAGTTTGATAGCACTGACATTGTCCCTCACATTCACCAGCAGGTCACTGGATTCACTGAGGTTAGGGTTGATGGCAGACATCTGCACCTCTGTGTCTCTGCCTGAATCTTCTCTGTGGTTCTCTGGGGTTTAGGACTCGTATCATCTCCCTAATTGGCATTAGAACACAAAACATCAACAATAACATGGTTGTGTTATTATTGCTCAAAAAAACATTATCTAGGCTGAGAGATAAAAGCTTAACTGGTCAACAAAATCCTTTACAGCTTAATGTACCTCCACTCTGCAGCTTCCACTGTAGGAAAAGGCAGCAAACTTTGTTAACAGCAAAGTTTGTGACTGTCCTGTGGCCCCCACCTCACTTTTCTTTTGCCTGTCCTCCTCACATCAGGGTCAGAACCTCCTGTGAGGAGAACATAAACAGTGAACATTAGTGAACTGTTTAAGCAGCTGACTGGATGGATGAGCACATTTTTACAAGCTAAGCTTCATCTGTTACTGTCAAGCTTCAGTTAGCTTCTGAGTTTAGCTAGCAACATAGATAAAATACATTTACACACGCATATCTTAAAGTTAGCATTACATGGATTCTAGTTTAATTCACCATGATGTACGTGTTAAGCTGCAGTAACATTAACAAACGTAAACTCACCAGCTGAAATCCAGACAAAGAGCCGTCCTCAGAAGTTCTTTGATGAAGACGAGTTCGGCCGTGGAATGTTGATTCCGTTTAACACTCACAGACTGACTAACGCTGAGAGGAGGAGGGGGGGAGGCTGCTGTCCGTCTCTCTTCTTGCAGAAAAACACGGAGCAACTTTCTGCTCGTGTGTTGTCGAAGCCGTTCAACAACACACGCGCTGCACACGTGAACCCCGTCTGTGGGCGTCACCAGTACCATAGACATACATTATACATAGATTAGGTACGGCAGCTCTATACAGCTCTGGGTGTAAACACGTAGTCTGTTTGTCATATGTCTGGTGTTTTACCTGCCTGCGTGCTGAAACCACATGACACGTTACAGCCAATACTGAAACTTGACACCGAAAAAGAGTGACGTTTCAATCCATACACCGACCAGTGCAGTTCTGTGGGTGCCATTTTAGAACCTCGGTTCGGTACTCAGCCCTACACAGAGTCCAACCAAAACACCAAACACTGATTTCTGAACATAACAGATGCTTTGGTTAAATGCCAGGGCATGCATTTTTACTTTGATTTTCTCTCTTTCAACTTTAAGATCAAGCATCCAGATTTCATTTTTTGTCCTTGAACCTAATACAAACATGTATTTGTCATCTCAAGTGAAACCCTTCAGATCTGAGTCTGAAGGGCTTTATATCTGATGTTGACCAAAGGCTTTCTTTTTATCATCCAAGAAACTGAAGTAAACATGCTAAAGTCTGGCAGCAAGTGTGTTTGGGCTTTGAAGAAGAGAGCAAGAGAAGAAAAAAAAATTCAGGAGTGGATCAAGCAACAAAATGCTTTTAGCTCAATTCAATTTACTATGCTATCTTGATTATCCTGTTGTCATAATCAATTAAAAGCGAAACATAAGTGAATGTTTTATTCATGACATTGCCCTGAATGCATGCATGACACCATCAGTTGAGTGTGTGATTCGCAGATCCAATCAGGAGATGGGAAATGATAATTAGATTATCACAGGCCTTGATAAAAGAAGATGATCTGTTTATGTGGCTGTGTTTTTGCCATCTCTGCTTTGTCTCTATTGCTTATCAAATGGACTCAACAATCTTCCATCTGATTTATTTTTTATTTTTTTGCAATTAATTTAATGATTTTAATCTCATTTGTTCACCTATTACTACTATGGAAAATACACTAATTCACTTCTGTGCTCTAATGAGGTCAGTTGTTTTTCACTTTGGTAAAGGGATTATTAATCACCAAATCTGTGCAGAGCTCTGGATCTTATACAGAGTTCTGTGATCTTCCACCATGCTTTTTGTGCCAAAACAAATCTTCATTTATACTAACAAAAACAGTAAGTATGAAGAGAAAGTAAGGTTGAAAAACTGAGGTTAAAGGCATAATTAAATTCAATCTCAGTTTTGGCATCTTCAGCAGACACAGAGCGAAATTATAGAAAAAGGGTGCGGAAACAATTGGCTAAGGAGAGTATCTGAGCCTGTGTACAGAATTTTTGACTTTCAAAGAAAAATAACTTCTTCGCTGGGAATTTACTGAGTCTTGGTTTAAAGAAGCTGTATTAGGAATACAGTTGTTTTATGCAATGAGGAGTAGGCCTGAAAATAAATTCAGTGATTAGTTTTCAAATTATTTTCATTGCAAGCTTTTTCAGGAAAAATGTCAAACCTACTTTGGTTTAAGCCACAATATGTTGCATTTTACATAAACAAACATGTTAACTTATGCAAAAATTACCTTTATTTTATATGTATTTATTTGTCCTCTCTTTAGAAAAGCCAATTTTTCCTAATGCACCATGCTTGTGTTTTGTGTTTGTGTGTGTGTGCACGTTTGTTTAAATCACAGCAATGGATATGCCTGCTGAGCTGACAGCCCTCAACATCACTCCACAAGGAGCCTTGCTGAGGTGGAATCCCCCCTTGTCCATCGTGGACAACTACGTGCTTACTGTCACACATAACCAGCGTGAGTTGTCAATCATTAACTTTCTTTCTCTTGATGTTTCTTCAGTGAATTTGCTACTATGGAGGGACAGTGTTTTCTGTGTTTCCCAACCCTGGTCCCTGAGGAACACCATCCTGCATGTTTTAATTGTTCCCCTGGTCCAACACACCTGATACAGTGATTTAATTATTTCCTCGGGTTCTGCAGAAGCCTGTTAATAACCCACTCATTGAAATCAGGTGTGTTAATGCAGGAAACAACTAAACCATGCAGGATGGTGTTCCTCAAGGACCACGGTTGGAAACCACGACTCATTAATGCTCTTATATTCACCTGAAGCTGGTACCTATGCAGGTTTTAGTTATTCAGTACAACATTTTTTTTTATTTGAATTATTTGTCTTAAATTCTTCTTCTACATATAGGGTGATCAAAGGCAACATACCTTGCCCTGGGTTATTTAAATAGCATTACTCAGCAGCTGGAGTGGATGTGTGAAATGACACCCAGCTGAGTGGAATGTAGCCGGATCACCTCATATACAGAAACAACATGTTTATGCAGAACACATATTTGGGAACTAGCCTCAACAAGGACTTTGAGAAGTGTAATGTAAGATTTGGACAAATCCTCATGAAAGTTAATGCAGTCATTTCAGGTCAATGAATAAAGACTCTGCTGAGTATTGAACTGCATTATAAATTAGATTTGTATTGATGAACACATACATCCACATAAAACTCAAACCATCATGATTCTGAGTAAAAGCAGAATATAGTTATATGTTGGAATATCTGTCTTTCTAAAAATATATATTTTTTATTCTATACTTTTTGTCTTATAAAAAGCCAGACTTTATTTCATTTTTTTAAGTTGATTTGATCACTTGTTCCTCAGCCTTTCTCAAGGTATTTTTCAAAAGAAATATTTGAAGTATGGCTGTTTTTTTCTCCTCTTGTTATGCCATTTTCTTGTACCTGATCAGGACAGTATATTGTGCAGTGTGTACTTAAAATGTAGAGGTGACCAAGTGGAGGACAAAGAAAAAAGTGTCAAACCATCTACAGCAAATAAGCAGCAGGCCTATCTTAAAGTATTTTATTTATAAACAGTAACAAAGCCATCAAAGACCTGAGAGATGTATGCCTCTTCAATTGATTATCTACTGAATGACAATTTTTCAGCTGCTAGGTTTTTTTTTTTTTTTGTTTGTTTTTTTGGCAAATCACCTTGTTGGTGCTAAAATACAGTTTCATGTCTGTTGAAATGAGTTATTTTTGGAGTTTCTTTTTTTATTTAGATGAAGAAATGGGAACAAATTGTGTGTTTGTGACAAGATGCTGTAACAAAGCACCCAAGGACTCAATTTGAAGTTGGTTCTTTGACAACTTGAAGTCTTCCGGTCATGTTACACATTCTATTAAAGATGTTAATACATGGACTGACTAATAAATGAATTAAAGATTCTTATGGTAATTATACTAAAATAGACAATAGTAGTTATCAAGACAATGCACTTGACTTTATGGACTTATTATAGTCCATGGGGATTCCATTTAGCAAAGTAGCTGGTCCTTTTAGCTAAAGATAAATATATTGAACCAATAAACTGTCCTTTTTTTGGCCATATACATTACAAAAAAATAAAAAAGAAACCTGGAGTGGCAGAGAAGTATGTTAGACTGGTACAGGACATGTATGACGACAAGCAGACAGTGGTGAGATGTTCTACAGTGACAGATAGCTTCAAGGCGGAGAAGGGAGAGCATCAAGGATCAACACTGAGCCCCTTCTTGTTTGCTCTGGTGATGGACCGACTAACAGATGAGGTCAGGCAGGAATCCCTATGGACTATGATGTTTGCAGATTACATTGTGATCTGTGGTGAGAACAGGGAACAGGTGGAAGAGAACTTGGAGAGGTGGAGGTATGCACTTGAATGAAGAGGAATAAAAATCAGCCGTAGTAAGACAGATGTGTGTGAATGAGAGAGAGGCTGGTGGAACAATGAGGCTACAAGGAGCAGAGGTCACAAAGGTGCAGGACTTCAAGTACTTGGGGTCCACTGTCCAGGAAAATGGGGAATGTGGTAAAGAGGTGAAATAGAGAGTCCAGGCAGGATGGAGTGGATGGAGAAAAGTTTCAGGAGTGATTTGTGACAAAAAGGTGTCAGCAAAGGTCAAAGGAAAAGTTTACAAGTCAATGATGAGACCAGCTATGTTTCATGGTCTGGAGACAGGGGGATTGACAAAAAGACATGAGAAAGAACTGGAAGTAGCAGAAATAAAGATGTTGAGGTTCTCCTTACTGACAAGGATGGATAAGATTAGGAATGCGATCATCAGAGGTACAGCCCAGGTTGAACAACTGGGAGATAAAGTTAGAGAGGCCAGACTGAGATGGTTTGGACATGTCCAGAGGAGAGACAGTGGGTATATTGGTAGAAGGATGTTAGAAATGCAGCTGCTAGGAAAAAGACAAAGGCGAGAAATATGAGTGCAGTTAGAGACATGGAGGTAGTTGGAGTGAGGACAGAATGAGATGGAGGAGGATGACTCGCTATGGAGACCCCTGAAGAGGGAAAAGCTGAAAGAAGAAAAAGACATAACAAAAAAAACCAAATAACCTACTCATAATCTGCATTTTTTGTTTTATTTTACATTTTAAATAATGTATTCTGCAGAAGCATAAATAATGTAAAAAAACAAACAAAAAACAACATCAAACTTGTTCAAGCAGTTCTCATTTGAGATTTCATTTGTCTATATCGCTAAGCATTTTCACACTTTCAAAAATAAAAACTAAATAAAATTAAACTAAATACTATGTTTGATGGTTTCAATTCTGCTAAGCATGTCCACTTTGCATATATTTTATCTCTGTTTTCCAGTGACAGCAGATACTTTCCTGGTGCAAGGCAACAAGCAGGAGCACCAGCTTTCCAATCTCAAGCCAAGTACAACCTACTCTGTATCCCTGTACGCCACCAAAGGACCCCTCACAAGCGGCACTGTCATCACCAACCTCCAAACACGTAGGTTTCCTTTTTACTCGCCTCCCCTCATCTCAGCAGGGAACCCAGCGCCTTGTGGTTAGCGCTGTCGAATCCCAGCAGGACACTTATCTGAGCCTGACTTCATCTTTTTTGAGTAGAATTCAGATGTTCACACTGTGTTTGCACAAATCAGCTTTGCAAGTGCACTGTTGAATTTATATTAAAAAGTTTGTCATTGAGAACTCCTGGTGGTGTTTATGATCACTGCTTCCAAGATGATTACATGTGTAGAGCATAAACATAACCCTGATCTGCATGTTCTACCACAAGTTTAACCCTATAACCATGAGCAACCACAAAAAAACAACTATTACTTTGTTGGCAAGAATTATTCTAATCTAATTAATGTCTATAAAATTAATGATGTTTTGCATTCTCAAGTTCAGTGTTTCCCAATCACAACTATGTGTTGTACTCTAAACCACAAACGACAATGGATTTGCTATAATGCAAACATGTTGACTAATTAACATACACATTAACCTCTTGATTGCTTTACTTGCATCATTAGCAACATCTTTCTTAGGAGAAAAGTTAAAGACGAGGTAACTTCCAGTTTGCAAGAGCTGCAAACCTTTTTCATGAGTGCTTTTAAATAAAGAAAACAAAACAGTCAGCACAGCGTTGTCCCCCAAGGAGCACCAGGGCTACCTGTCCTGCACTACAACAGGGTTGCATTACTCAAAATGGACACAAGCTCTGACAGTTCATGGGAATGTGGCTGTAGGAACTTTAAGACCTCTATAAGGTCCAGAGGGGGGAAATAAAACACATCTACATGTACTAGTGATGCACATTTAGTTTCTCATATGGATTTGAATGCCTCCAACATTTAAACAGATGGTCTTGTTGTGTTATGTAATTCATTTCATCCACTGTGATGAAGACAAACAAAAAAAGCACATTTCAGGCCTGTTTAGTATTACTCATACAGCTGTGATGGATGGTGTGAAGACAAGGATATTGTTCTGCTGTGAGTATTATGTCATATTCAATCAAGACAAAAATATACGAGTGCTGCCTTCCCTGAGCGGAGGGGATTGTTTTTTCTCGGCACATAATTCTGAAAAATGAAAAGTAAAACAAAAGTAGATCATTTGTCTGCATGAAAATGATTAACAAAGACATCACTTTATTTTTAACTTAGTACTTTACTATGAGTATTTATTTATTTTAATCAATCTAGAATAGTGCTGTTAAAGGTCATTTACACATTAGTAGAAGTTTACCAATAGTGTACTGATTATTCACCATGCTGCAAAAAAATGAACAAGCATGCAGAAAAAAATGTACAATCCCCATATTTGTGTTTTAATAATTCTTCGTGTGTTGGCGAGTTCAGGATAAACTGAAAACTTTTAGGACGTGTTTTCTCCCGGTGATGTGATGTCTTTAGCAACATCTGTGCAAATGTCAGTGATAGATGTCAAAGTTAAAAGGTCAGCGAAAATTGTGGCTTTAAAACCTTCTCTCGTCGGAATAGATGGCATTTCCATCGAACAGCGGAGAGTGGAGAGATGATGAGGAAAAAAGGATGAGTCTCATCCTTTCATTCATATTTTTGGTCGTGTTGAAGTTCTTTGTAGATCCCCAAGCCTCTTAACTGCGGCTGAGAGTGGTTTTGTTGTCTGGCCTCTATGCGTCAAGAGCTCAACAGTGAGTAAGACAGCACGCCTGATATTTAAGCTCTAAGGGTGGAAAATAACGGATTTGGCTGCAGGTGTCTCTAAAGGCCTGTAGGCTGGAGAACTGGGACTTTTTCCTTCTGATGTTTCTGAGACTCCCTGTTGAGTGGTGCTTGGTATGGCGATAAAGCTGTAGAAATCCTTGCTTCAGGCAACTCCATACTGTCCTCATAAACAGCAGTTCACCAAATATTGAGTTTTGCTGCAACAAAACCATAAACTACCTTTTTAGGGATGTGTTTATCATATATTTTAAGAAGTATCAGCTTAAGAAAATAAGTGTAGATTATGTTTTTTTATGACATTCACAGAACATTTTCAGACTATTTTAGGGTTTTGATGGTATGCTTTGTTTTAAATGAGCAAAAGTAGAAAATGAAAAATAAACTTTTGTTTTTATATCTGTAGTAGGCTTTTCAATAGTCCTGCAATGTTTGTACAGACTGCCTGCATTACAGTAAAAGACAAAAATCAAACATTGAGGTGGACTGAATTTTTTTACTGAGTTAGAAATATGTACAATTCTGGAGCTCCGAGTCCAAAATGTTCTATAATTTTCAATTTTAAGAGAGCTTAAGCCAATAACAGAGGTTCTAGTTCAGTCTGCTTTGCTAAACTGAGTTATCAGAAACTAAAGGTCGTGGTCAGACAGGCGGAGTAGAAATCAGTCGGAGTGGAAATCAGGGGTCCCAATAAAATTAGATCCTTAGTTCCTTTGTGGATTGGGGGGAAGCACTGGTGCAGCACTCCCCTAATAGGTCTTAGAAGTAGAGCAGCTGGATAAAGGCCATTCTTTATTGGAAGACACAAAACAAGCTAAAGATTTGCCTAAAAGGACCTGATTAAAACATTTAACCAAATTATTTGCCTCAGTGATAGATAAATAAATAAATGCATAAATAAAGAAGGATTTTTAACAATCCAACCAAAACGCTTTGACTTTATAATTCATTTCCTTCAACAAACACGAGTGTGGTGTCATATTTTTTTTTATCTGTCTGCAAAAATAAATTAGAAACAAGACAGCACAAGAAAAAAAATGAACATAAAAAGTTCAAAATTAACCTAAGTGTGAAAAGTTCAAGCAATGCTCACATTGTGTTTTAAAATGTAAAACTCAGATTTAATGTAAAAAAAAAAAAAAATCTCATGATGCAGAGAAAGTAATTATATGCATCTAATTAGTTGTTAAAAGTATTAATATTTTGTTCTGTGTTAGCTCCATACCAAATTAAGTAGTAGTTGCTTAAACCTTATAGTTTATGTCTTATATTTTAGGTTGGCTGTAGTTTCAGTGGTTATATTCAGTTTTACTGAGCCCAGCAAACACTGTTACCACCATGCTGCTGATATTATCTAGATCAGAAACAAACAACTGGTTATTCCAGGAAAAAAAAAATGTCAGTATAGAAACATTTATTCAATGAACCAGCAAATACTCAGTGACACTTATATCCAAACCATTTATGAACACATACAGTGACACGTTTATTCAGTATTCCAACATCTTTTTCAATGACATCTTTTATGTTAATGTAAAAAGTCAGCAGGTTAGTAAGAGTACAATTTGTTCCAAAAAAGATTAAAATAAATAACCTTAAAGCTGAAATCAAAATATTGTAAATCCTCTGATCTTGCTGAAAGATTGTGATTGTTTCCAACTTAGACAAAGTCAGTAAAATTAAGTGAAGCACAAATATGTAATAAAGCCATGGACTGCATGTCTTCATTATTTTAAGATGACAAATTTGTCAACCATCTTTCAATCCATTGTGAACCCTGAACAGATGAAATGAGTTTTCTTTATTGATCTTTTATTTTAGCTGTCTTGACAACAGGTTAAAGCACTGATAAAAGGTGCATTCAAAGAAAAGAGATGCTGCCAAATTAACTTCCTACAAAGTTTGATTAGTTTCTATATGTCTTCTTTTGGTTTCTAATTTATTGCTCACAGGAGACGTCAGAGTACATTCAGTGTATTTGCTGTCGCAGTCGGTGGGACTTAAAGATAATAACGGCCTTTATTTGACTATCATGTTGCCACTGATATCCAGATTGCATTATGTTACCTTTGATTTTATGACAATAAAACAAATAAATCTCGTACGTCACCCAGACATCAGCACTCACTTGCTAACAGTCATTGAAATAGGACTTCAAAAACAATGGCATCCTTCATCTTTTCTTGATGCAACAAATTGCTGCACACGAAGCGCGTCCCATCTGCTGCTTCATGATCGTGTTTATTTTCCTCCTCTAGAATTGTTTGTGCGTGTTAATGAATCATTAGTTGTTGCCAAACCAATTCATCTCAATTTCTTTGTTCAAACCTCCTCATCTGAACGGAGAGTGTCAGATCTGCCAGGAGCAGCGCTGACACCTGCTCACCTGCTCGCTGTGCAAAAGTTTAATTGGAGGAGAGTAAAAGAGACAAAGACAAGGTGACAGGCTTTAACAGGTGAATGGAGAGAAGGGAAGAATGAAGATGGCTGTCCACATAATCCACCATCTGTGTTCATGCAGAAAGGCATTTGATGAGAAAAGAAGATAAATATATTTACCCTTGGGCACATTTACTTGAAAACCTGTTACATACAATTAAAAAGTGGAGGTGGACAGAGGAAATAGGAAAACAAAGAAATACAATACAAAAAAGAAGGGAAAGGAAGGATAAAACAAGTGGATATTGGATGCAATCTGATGAAATGAGAGGTACAAACCTGCAGAGTTAAGATGAAGAGGATGTCAGAGAAACTGTCAGACTATAGTGCAATCTGCAACGTGCGGCCTTTATCTGCAACACCTTTTGTTTTTTCCATTTCACTCAATCTCCTTGTCCCAGTCTCGACTTGTCTTTTACTAGCGAGTCGAAAAAAATAAAGGCTCCCGGCATCTGTGACGAGGTTATCATCGCAGGTTCCTGCTTTTAATTAAAGAGATGTCATTGATCGCTCCAAACACACCGCAAGACTTAACTTAGCATTACTGCTGTGAATTTTATTTTGTATTTGCGGTGTTTAATGAGCCTGTCAAATCCTCTAGAACAGTAATTCTCAAACTGGGGTCCCCGTTAGTCCCATGGTCCGCGAGCCAGTGCTTGGGGGTCCGCAAAAAACAAACAAAAAAATAAAACAAACAAAACAAGCATGTAGATGTTTAACAGCTAGTTAAAATACATCATAATGCAAGAAATCAAAATTTTATGGGCGAGGACCCCAGACACCCCCCCTCCCCCCACTATTTGTGTTCTGGCATCGATCTGTTCACAAATGTAGCCCTGTTGTCCTAAATAAAGGATAAATGAAAAAATGTTACTTGGTCTGACTACTGTTGTTATGATCCTGTTCAGTTTTACGTAAAGAGTTTTCTGTAATAATTAAAAGAAGTGGCGATACATTTATTATGTTCATTATGTAAAGTTTTAACGTGGTTTTTGGTGCTGTTAGTTTTCTCAAAACTGTAATTTTTTGGAAGTTGAAATTACAAATTTTCTTAATTAAGTGTGTCTTGAATGAAAAACACCCCATGTTTAAAAGTATAAAAATTGCATTAACACTATTAAAGAACAGGTCTTAAGTATTTATGTTACACAAATATTTATATTGCATTAAAGACACAAAGTGAAGAAAATTATTTATTAAACATGAGGGTTATGAGGGGGTCCCTGAAACTTTTTCTCTTATGTAATAGAACCCAAAAAGTTTGAGAACCCCTGCTCTAGAAGGGTTTAATATTCAAGATATTAAAAAAAATACACATTTGCCCTACAAAAGGCTGAATGAAGGAGATCCAAAGTGGAAACTCGGGCTGTGACTCAGATCAAGAGACAGCAGTGTGGATGATGTCTTCATTCCATATTCACTGCAAGGTCTTTGGATTTCAGCACACAACGTGCAGGACTTTTTTGTTGTTGGTTCAGTTTCCCTACCTTCCTCACACACTGAGCACTTTTGCCTGCCTGGCTGATGATGTGCCCCAGAGTCATGATGTAACTCCAGGAAACAGATTTTTATGAAGAGAGGGTCATTTATTTGTTTCACGCTCTAATATGAACTTATAGCACCCCGATGCTTCTGCTACCACGATGTTAGATCAGATAAAAACGGAAAAAGAGTTGATGTAAGGTGGAGAAATGGAGGTAAGTCTCCTCTTTTTGTGTTTTAAGTATCAACAAAAGAATTCTAATCAGATCTTGTACCTAGCTGTGCAGGAAGAGAACATAAGATGAGTGATGTGATGTAATAAGCTGTAAAACTTGGGTGGGCTTGCTGATCAAGAGTTTGAATGCTTGTAAGGCTGTGACATGTCTCTGACTAAACATAGAAAAGCGCTTTACTGCTGTTTTCACTCGGTCCTGTGGGGATTTAAGATAACTGATGAGGAGATTTTACCTGTCTCATGAAAATACCCTGCAGCGTATGTGCAAGAAAAAATGTTAGTTATTTTTGACATCTCTTTCTGTTCTCTTGTAACTGCTTTAGAAATACAGATTGCACATTCTTTAAAAAAAAAAAAAAAAAAAACTAAGTGTGGTTCTCTATTTTATGGCTTTAAGCAAGAAGTATAATAAGCAATATTATTTAATTTTTACTTGTTTCTGCATTTAAGGTGTCTTAAGTTATTGTTAAGATGGTGCAGGAGGAAATTAGTTTGAGTTGTAGAAAACAATGTATTTACAGGCAGGTAAAATAGTGTCATTGTCACTGAAAAACCTTAAAATGTACACAGTGTGATGTAGTATACCACACACTGCACTTTGTTCTTATGAAGTTTGTTAAAACATTAAAACAATGAAGGCATTTTAAACAATACAGGTTGTTTGCTCGCTCTCTCAACCACCCATCCATCCTTCCATCCATCCATCCATCCATCCATCCATCCATCCATCCATCCATCC